ATATATATATATATATATATATATGTACATATGTATGTATATATACTTATATACATACTTTTATAAGAAGTGTTAAAAAGGATTTTAATTTTAATTTAACAAATAAATTTGCTCTTTAGTATGAAACAATTTCTAAGTTGTCCTTTATTTTCTCCAAAAAAATATGATCACCGTATGTATATCTGATATTATATACTATCATTATGAATGAAAAAAAGAGTTCAAAAAAGCATTATATACCCATTTTCAGAAGCTTTATAGTTTTTTATATTTATTTGCTTCTGTAGAAGCACTTTAATGTTGTGCAGTAATTAAAATTAGAAAATAAAGAAATTTAGGTTATAAAAACGTCGGTTTACAGGTCTTTATAGTCGGCAGTGATGAAAGATTTGACCGGCCAGCACCAAAAGTGGAAGCCACTGAGAGACGCACACAAGCGAGAACCGCCGTCCGTGTGCGTGCTCTCAGTGGCTCTCACTACCTCGGTGCTCTTGGTGCTGGCCGGTTAAATCTTTCATCACTGATAATCGGTATCCAATATTCTCTTAAGGTGCCATTACACGGCGTCTGGTTCGATGAGCTTCGCGTCGCTTGTACAGGCTTGTCGATTCTTTATCAAGCTCTGACTGTTCTCACGGCGCGCTAATTCGCGAACCTCGTGTTGCGTCGCGCCGCTTTAATTTTTTCGAGCGTTGAACGATAACTGAAGAAAGTTTACGCGCACGAGCTACGAACTGTTCGAGTCTGTATGAACGGATTCACGAGACAAGCCTCGACGATGGCGCGTTTCTTTTGACTCGTGCCACAGTTTGTTCGGCGGGAGGTATGCGCTGCGCCGAGTCTTGCCGCGCTGGCCCATTCACACGACGCGCAGCGCGGCAAGTCGTGAGCCAGGCTCGCTACGCGCGAGTAAGTAACCACGCGCTGTGTAATGGCACCTTTATGTAGAATGGCCTGTATGCGCGTAAGATAGCCCGGCGTGCTTCGCGCGCTCACGATGTTACCTGTAAGGCTATGTTCCGATTCCTCACCCGGATATACTTTATCTTTATCACTCACTAGATGTGAAACAAAGATAAAATGACACTCGGATGCACTCGGGTGGGGAATCGAAACACAGCCTAGCGTGTAGGAGCAGCTAATATACAGCATATACTACACATATACATAATAAAAGGTAACTGCGCAAAGCGCGCCGAGTTGTCTTACGCGCGTAAAACAGCCCGATGCACGTTCATTCGCAGATTTTTATTAATTAAGATCTGAGTAAGTATTGCGAATCTCGCAAAATGGATATAGGACTTTTCGACTCATTGTCAGTATTATTTCTTCTATCTGCTTATAAGCGATTATACGGCAATTACCGGACACCTTGTATATAAGTTGTATGTATAGCATTTGTGTGAGTGTGTAAATATATATGTATATATGTATTTTTTTATGTAGCCAGAAAATATACTTCTAAAGAGTAATTCTGATAAGACTTTAGTCAAAGTTTCTGATTTTGGCATGTCTAAATTAGTAAGTGCCCAGTCTGCGATGAAAACTTTTTGTGGAACTCTTATGTATGTTGCTCCTGAAATTTTGAAGACTTTTGGACGTGAAACATACACAAACCAAGTGTGTATTTAAATGTTTTGATAAGAAATAATTTTATATGACGTATAAATTATTTTTATATACTCTAGTATTATAATTTTTTCAGGTTGATGTGTGGAGTTTAGGAGTCATACTGTACATTTGTTTAAGTGGCATTTGTCCTTTTAATCCTAATAGAGAGGACGTAACTTTAGAAGTACAAATAATGCAAGGACTTTATAAGTTGCCAGATTCACACTTTGGTAATATAACATCCACTGCGAAAGAATTGGTTCGTAACAATACTTACAAGCAATTGTTTGTATTCTGCGATTGACTGTATAATTAAGTTGTGTTGGTTTTTTTTTAGATTAAACGTATGTTAACGGTAGATCCGAAAAAACGTATAACAGTGAAACAGATTTTGTTACATCCGTGGCTGAAAGACGCGCATATGCGAGAAGAAGTACAAATATTGATCAAAGGAAATAAATGCATGGAAAACGATGAGAATACGCCGCCTTTCAATATCTTTAAACGTGCGCGAAACACTTAACGCGTAAAAAGACAATTTTGACAGAAAGTATGGAAATATTTTCAACATAAAATATCAAGTAAAGAAATAGTACAAAAGAGTAACTTTTGCAATAAGACTGATAATTCTGTTGTGATACATCGTTGTTAGTTATTTGTACGTAACAAAACAGTTTACTTACATATATAATGTACACACACACGCGCGCACACTCACACACACACACACATGTATGAAAAATTTTGGTCAAGTCGAAGTGTGAAGATACATTGGATTAATATCCAAAGAATCATGTACCATTTTGCAAAATTTGCTGTAATTGTTGAGTAATTAATTAAATGACTTCTGTTTAGATTGCTCAATTTATCTTTACTCTTCGATTTTGTCATTCGTTAGACATCCTGTATCTCTGTAATTAACTTAACTGATATTAAAACCAGAAAATAAATGGCAAGTTGAAAAGCATTTTCTACACGTGAGAGTAAGTGATAGTAAGTGATAAGTCTTTCTTTTATGTTTTGATGTATTGTGACAAGTCTGAGAAAATGTGATTTATAGAGTACTTCCTGTGTATATATAAAATAAATACATAACCGCAATAAAAAGATTGGTGATTAGTATTAAATGGTATAATTTTCTGTTATCTTTAAAATCTTTAAAAAGAATCGAAACATTTCCAATAAAAAGAAGTTGACCATTTCTATTTGTTTTTTTGTATTTGTTTTATTCATAGTGATAAACAGCATTACATAATAAAAAGGGAGACGTTATTCGAAACATATTATCTTTTCCTATTCTTTTTTGCATAAATAGTGCTCTTGTTCTTTATGGCAAAGATTTGGAAGACCCGTTTTGAGATCTGGGTTTTCTTTCTTCGTAAGACCGGCTATTAAACGTCTTAGTTGCGCTATTGCTCTTGCTGGATTTAAGCCCTATAAAAATATATAATACTATTTTATTTCAAATTTATATGTAATTTTGATACATAAAGATAATTGTTTTGTGGAGAAGTGAAGATGTTTATATTTAGAAGTGTTGATGGTAATAATGTTTTCTCACTTTCGGGCATGTTTTAGTACAATTAAAGATCGTTTTACAACGATAAACTGAATAAAAGTCTCGTAGTTTAGCTAATCTCTCTGTATGCACCAAATCTCTTGAATCTATCACCCATCTATATGCCTATAATAAGTGAATGGATATATATGTACTGATATCTTTTTATTCTCTTTGCCATAAAAGAACTTTACTATTTTATACCTGTAGAAGAACCGAAGGACCTAGAAATTTGTCGCCGAGCCACCAATAAGGAGGACACGAGAATGTACAACATGCGCACATTATACATTCATACATGCCATCGAGTTTGTTTCGATCTCTTGGGCTTTGCAAAAGTTGTCGCATACCAAGGAAATTTTCCTCACCCGGGCGTTTCAAATACGGCTGAATCTTTCGAAATTGATCGAAAAACTGTTCCAAGTCCGGTATTAGATCTCGAATTACGTACGCATGCGGTAAAGGATACAGTACAAGTGGTTGCGGAGATTGCTTTACTTTTCTGATAATTTAATCAATATTAATGTATGTTACAATATATTTATCCTGATAGCCATCTGTCTGTGTTTTAGCTGTCATGTTGCTGAAACCGATTGAGTTTTCAGCAAACTTAGAACAAGGTGAGTCAGGCATTTGTCTTTGGTTTGACATGACACGTATTAATCATGTGTTGCCGACAACTTACTGTGTATTTGCTGTCAACGGTTTATCACTAACATAAAGAGTAACAAGACAACATATTGCCGCCAACACGTGCTGAGTCATATTTTTCAGCAAAAATACAATATGTCGAACACGGGTAAATATATATACATATAATGGCATATCGCTTTATGAAAGGAGAATTAATTCAAGATTTCACTCAAATTAATCTTTAATTGACGAGACCTGATTTAGTTCGCCGATCACCTGATTAACTCGATGAAAGATACCGGACCCGGAAAAAATCCTAAGATGATGAGTGGAATTTGAATTCGAGACTTTCAAACAACGTGAAGTTCATATTCGCAACTCTTGCACTCAGTCCGCAAGACCACTTGTTTCTTACTAAAATGTAATTGTTTTTACCCTGATAGGAAAACATTTACAAAATTATGTGACGAAATCTTGCACTAAAATTGTAACTTGCAATTATACAGATATATTTTAGGAAATAGATGTAAAAACATTGATCTTTTATAAAATATTTGTAGTTGTTTGCAAAATTACTTTCCAAATACTATTTCGGCAAAAGAATAACGATATGGCGAATCATCTTAGCAGTATATTTGCAAAATTAATTTCAAAAAGAAATTGTCCAATAATTGAGAAAAAAATTTCAGCTATGTGATGTTTACAATATGTAGAAATATAATTGCATATGAAAAAATCAACTTAATTCATATATATACTTATGGAATGCATAACGACTTTTTCGCAAGTTTTGACAAATTTTATTTACAACATTTTATTTCGACAAAACTGTTGCGTTATGGCTAATCATCTTAGTAAAATCATTGCAGGATTGTCGTTATTCATGATGCCATTTTTGTGCAATATTTTCACAATTTGCTTATCAGAGTATCTACTTATTCTAAAACACGGTCATTCGTTTTCGACATTTAATGAGCTACAAGATAGAATTAATATATTTCAACAGTCTTTAACAACCATACGATAGAAGTATAGACATTGGTGTCTTGTTTTGTTACCGTCATGTTGCTCCTATGTTGCCGAAAACGAATGACAAAGCAAAGAGTTTTCCATGAATAGAAGTCATTTTGTTGACAACGTAATAAGCAACAGTTGCTCTCCGTTTATTCTGAATCTGCTGACACAAAATGTCTCAAATTTGCTTTTGTGTTATTGTTTACGTATGACTATGCATTATGTTTTCAGCAAATACACAGCATTTAGTCGAAAATTTCTGCTCTAAGTTACATGATTTTACAAAACATGCTTGGCTATCAGGGTTAAAATAGTACATTTATAAGGTTTTAAATTAAACTAAGTTTTTGTATTATATTTTATATTAACGTATTTCTTTTTAAAAGATCTAATTATTTCCTTGTATATTAACGTAATTATTTCCCTTGCAAATTTTTAAGTGTTTAAACCCACACAGAACAAAAACTCCATTAGACGTCTATTAGACGTCGACAGCTCCATGCGACATCTAATAGATGTCTGGATGGATGGATGTCTGTGTAGGAAGTTTTTAATATAAAAAATTCTCAGTGTTTTAAATGTTCTATACAGATCAAATATTCAGCTTGTAGATATTCTACATTGGGATTTCTGATTCTAAATAACTTTTAAATTTTTATCAATTCATTTATCGTTGTCACAAATTTTAAAGTAATACGAATTACGTTACGCAAGCTAGAGTATTGACGCCATTTATATTCATTGCACAACATCCACAGATGCCTTCCCGGCAAGACTTTCGAAAGGACAACGTTGGATCATGCTGTGCCTTAATCAAAGTTAGTACGTCTAGTATCATTGTGCCACATTTGTTTAGATCCACGGTGAACTGCTGCATGTATGGCTTCATATGCGGTCTTTCTGGATTCCATCGATATACTCGAACAACTTGAGACCTTGGTATTTTACTTTTTATCTGCAAAATGATAATATTTAAGTATTTGTGCCTTTATCTAAAATATAAATAAATAGAAAGAGAAAATAAAGTTTTTTCAATAAAAATGTCCTTAAACATTTTATATTTAGCTTACATACAACAAAGAAATATAGATTAAGAAATATGAGAAAATTATTTTTTTCAATATGAAACTTTATAATGTGTGTTACACTTTTTCTTATAATTACATAAAAAAAGGTAACAAATTTAATCCTAATTTTATAAACGTTTTTTTAGGTATTTATCCTGAAAATCCTGGACATTTATGTCTGACGCGATTTTTTTATTAGTTAAAACGTTGCAAAAATTCTGTAAAAATTTATATGGCTTTATTCAATATTCTATATTAAAGAAATAATATTAGAAATTGGCCTATTTAATCTCATTCTTAGTTTAAATAATATTAGTTTTGATATACTTTTCTATGGTTTAGAAATTCTTCCACTAAATAGTTAATACGATTGTCTCATTTTCAAGAATCGCTTGGACATTAATTCTGGAGTATATAGAATAGAGTTAAATAGAATAGAGTTTATAGAATAGAGTTAAATATAAAAAAACTAATTTAAGATGTGTTCTAATGTTCTTTGTATATAATCAATTACATTATACAAAGAAGTTTTTATAGTATACAAAAGTAAAAAAAATAAAAAAGTAAATAAAAAAAAGATTGTCTTTTATATTGTTTCGAATCTGGTACATATAATATATGAATCGTTTATTTTACATATTTATAATTTTTTTGCAATTTGGTGTATATGATATACGCCACCTGTCTGTGTTTTTGCTGTCATGTTACCGAAAACAAAGCGCTTGAAGTTTCAGCAAACTTAGAACAAGATGAGTGAAGCGTTTGTCTTTGATTTGACATCAGACGTAGTCACTAACAACTTGCCGTATATTTGCTGTCAACGATTTCTTTACTAACATAAAGAGCAACATGACAACAAGTTGCCAACAACACTTGCCGAGTCAAAAATTTTAGCAAAAATGCAACATGTCGAAAAGGAATGAATATGTATATTTAATGGCACATTGTCTTGTGGGAGAAAACTTAACTCAAGATTTTACTTGAATTAATCTTTGGAGGCCTGATTCAGTTCATCCTGATCAACTGCTCTTACAGAAAAAACAACTATTGACCGTAACGTACGAAATCACGTTCAACTTGACCGTAAACGCTCAAAATTGAACGTATAACGCTGAATATTGAAAGTTTACGGTCAAGTTGAAGGTGATTTTGTACGTTACGGTCAATAGTTGAACGTTTTTTCCGTAAGGGTGATTAACTCGATAAAAAGTACCAGGCTCGGAAAAAATCCTAAAGATGATGATGGGATTTGAACTCGAGATCTCCATATATGCAACCGCTGCACTCACTCAATCCACAAGACCACTTGTTCCTTACTAACAACAAAATGTAATTATTTTTATCTACTTATTCTCAAGCTATCCTGCACATTTGATTTGTTATTTAAATTATTATTTTATTAAAAATATTGCAGTGTAATACCTGGAATAATGGACAAAAATATCTTTTATTATTATTAAATATAATTTAAAAATGTACTAATATAATGTAAAGTGCATTTTTCAACGCAAATAAATTTGTTGTTAACATATGTTGATTATTATAGTCAATTCTTAGTAATAGCAAATGATATATAAAAATATGTATACGTTTATATGTATCATTTTTATTATATAACAGATATTATATAATAAAAATGTTATATACACACAAAGTGTGTTGCGTTTATTGTCTTTGATTGGCTTCTTCCTGTAAATCAATTGGAAATTTGAAATTATATGCCAATGACAAGCAAAAATCGGAAAGCACTTGATAAGCGTTGAGTTTTGCTGGACGCAACGGCCGATTTTTTCTTTATGTCCGACGCGACGCAGGATGGAGGATGTGTTTCTTCTGTAAAAACGCAGTCATTCGTTTTCATATTTTATGGGCTACAAGATAGAATTACTAATTTTCAATAGTTTTTAACAACGACAGAAGTACAGACACCGGTGTCTTGTTCTATTATCGTCATGTTACTCCTATATTGCCGAAAATGAATGACAAAGCGAAGAGCTTTCCATGAATGGAAGTCATTTTGTTGACAACATAATGAGCAACAGTTACTCTCTGGTTTCTTTGAATTTGGTGACACAAAATGTCTCAAATTTGTCTTCGTGTTGATTACGTATGGCTGTGTATTACGTTTTTAGCAAATACACAACAACTAGTCGAAAACTTCTGCTCAACAGTAAGTTACATGATGTTGCAAAACATGCTTGGCTATCAGGAATATTACATGAGATTAACTAACTTTTGTAGGCGTCTTGCATGTTGCAACGGCCGCGATTTCTTGTTCTATAACTTTTTTTTTTTCAGAAATTTGCGAAACTTTAACCGATGTCGATGCCAATCTTGATCTGCGAATGAGCTCGAATCCACGCAACCAAAGCTGGCTTGTGAATCCACCGTTTATAAAGGTAAACATAGTCTTGTCATATGACTTACTGTTGCTGTTTCTGCACGCCCATACAATATCTCGTAAACGATACTTTTGTGATATTATATTGTGCTATTTAGATCATTACTCTCTTGTTACAGAGAGAGTTATATCGTATATCTTGCACACAAATATCGCACAAACAAAATATTGTCAAATAGACAAACTTCAGAACTTTATAAAGGGTGTTTTCTAGCAACAGAATACAGTCATATACTTTGTGACATAGTGTTACAAAGTGTCAACTTGTAGTTGGAACGGTATTTAATTTTTTTATTTCATTTTTTATTTCATTGTCAGAGCGAAAGACTTTACATAACGTATCAGCACCTTTTCTTTATCAGCAAGTTTTCCGGTATATACATTGTGTGCGTGCGTACGTGCGCGCGCGTATGTAAAGTAAAAGTACCCAGCAAACAATTTGGTTGTCAGATGTCGCGATTTTGTCGCCAACTGCCACACCAAATCCATATCCATCTGTGTCCTCAGTAGGATATGGTTTTGGTGACCATGTTGCGTTTTTTGTGTCTGTGTGTCAACAGCTTTGGCAGCACACAAAGCATGTTTCCGTATTGTAGCGTTTCTGCTCACAGTTTCTGTTGCCAGATCTGCGCAGTCAGAAATTGTTTGCTGGGTACCTATAATGGAACAGATTTTGATAGAAGTTTTACATTTTCATTAAAATTGAATTAATAAAAGAATTAATATTTGAAATTTTTATTGAATTGAACTGACCAGTCTTTTCTGAATCGGAAATGACTTTAAAAATTTCATTCTAATATTAATAATATTATGATATTAATAAAAAATAGTGAAGTGACCTACATGTACACATTTTGGAACAGTATTTATATATCTTGTACCGGTGTTCTATACATATATACTTGTTGTCCTTATTTTAGAACAGCATCAGAATAGAAAATGTACAAACTGGTTTTTATGTTGTAGCTTCCCAGCAAACAATTTCTGTTTTTGACAATTTCGGCTCAGACCTTGGCAACAGAAATTGTTTGCAGAAATGCTACAATACGGAAACACTGCCAAAACTGTTAGCACACAAAAAGAAAAAACGCAACAACTTTGTTGGCAATATACATGAGAGTATT